TTCCATGTACACAAAAACAGAGTAAAATAAACAGAGCAACCAAAGAATAACAGAGCACTTTTTTATCAGTCAATTTCTCGAAAGAAACGGTGGAAATTATTGGAAGAGGGCACTGCCACTGACATACCAACGAAGAATTCAAAAACCACAACAACGGTGAAAACGACCCAGATCGCATTCACGCCTAACCCGTCGTAGATTGGTTTGAAGTAGTAAAAGAGAGACACCATTGTTAGAGCCAGCCCAACTTTGAGAGAGTGAATCACCCTCCTGGGATCTTCCTTCCCGAATTCTTTCACCCGCGCTGCAAGCTCGAAAGCTCCACTGGGGAAAGAACCAATTGCTCCACTTTTAATTGGTTCTCTCTCAAATGCTCAAAGGACCAAGACGGTGATGGCACGTGACTTGGCCGGCCGGGAGAGGTCGTCGACCGGAGGGGAGAGGAACGGCGACAAGCTGTGAAATAATTAAAGGAATTAGGATTTTTTTATTTTTATAATAATTAGGTGGAAAATAAAAAATAATTAAATTATTTTATTTTATTAATTTTTAATTGCCACGTCACTCATTACAGGTCAACTATAAGAGTTGACCGTCACATCAGCAAAAGTTAACGGAGACTAATGGCCAGTGACCAAACTTGAAATGTTAACCTAATTTAAGTGACTACGAATGTAATAAATTAATTTTAGTGGCAAATGTGAATTTCTTAAGTAATTCCAGTGACCAAACTTGCAATTTAGCTTAAAATATAATCTCTTTGATTCTCCATAATGATTTTATACATATTGCTTTCATTGAGTTAATTGTATGCGCCCACAAGTTGATTATACGTTCACAAAGTATCGAAAATAGTGTTTGCTCATGTCACGTGGACAGACATACAAGATTTGAGCTTACCTTTAATTTTGGGCTCATAAACCTTAATGGGTTGAGTCGGATGCATAAATACTCAACTCATTTCTTCGTTTCTTCTTCAAGTCTCGATCAATTACATTAGAGTATACAAATAAATTTCAATATTTTCTATACAAATATCATCCACTAATCCTCTTTCACAAGGAAGAACGACAGCCAAAGAGAAAGAGAAAAGGGAGACGGTAAAATCCATTAAAAATAAAAACAGAGCCGATTATGGACTAGAAGAGTAATTACGCGAAGACAAATAAGCCAAGACCCCAACCAGAGGGGCATTGATGTAAGTGGTTGGCTCGGAGTGTACAAAATCCGCCCTGGAATCGTCGTAAGCGTCGTTGATATCAGGGCCTCCGACGACCGCGCCGGTGAGCTGATTAGGGTTCGGGTTCTGGCTCATGAAGTATTGAGTTCCACCTTGGCAGTCTATTCTGTCCGGATGGCTCGCCATCGACGGCAACGACGATGCCCGGTGGTGAATCTTCTGTGGGAACTTCGTCCCATATCCCACCATGTACGACATCTTTAATGGGTTGCTTCCGAGTATGTAATCCACCTACAAAAACAATGGACATTCATTCCAAAATGGCAAACCAAATCAAGTATTGAATTTGGGTTTTGTTATGGGAAACTTCAAGTATATCACATGGCTAATACAAGGGAAGAGATCTTTGCGTATAAGGATCCACCAAGTTCAATTCGTACGATATTGTCCGCTTTGTGTCCCGTCCGCACAAATTTACTTTTGAATTTGGTAGACACTTATATACCAAAAGGTCACTTCCCATGTATTTTCGATGTGGTACTTGGATGTTATGGTTTCGTGGATCACCTGGCCTCGGGCGAAGTTGACGAGCCGGGAGGAAGTGACAACCACATCGCCGCAATGGACCACTCGCTTGTAACGCTGGAGATGGCGAGCGTAGGAAACGAGCAGGAAAGACAACGCCGTGACGTGTTGCGTGTTGCTTCCGCCGGATTTGAACAGAAGCCCGCCGGGAGAGTACTCGACGCTGACGGTGGGCGATTCCGGCAGGACCGTACAGATAAACTTGTCGGCGTAAAGGTTGAACGTCGTCACGTCGGTAATGTTATATGGAACCAGCAGCTGCATAAAAAAAAGAGTAAAACCAAACACAATTAGATCAACCACAGCTCTCATTTTCCACCAGAAATTTGATTTCAGCAGCAGAATTAGGGGTTTTTTAACCTCTGTAACGAGAATATTGATCCCAGCAGTTTTAGTGTCCCATCCGAACTCTCCAAAGGCTCCCTCTGAATAGGTCACTCCATCAATGCCGTGAAACATCATCTTGTTCAAATTTCCCGCGTTGCTCTTCAGGTAGCTCCAGTAACTGGCTCCCTTTGTCGCCTTGAAGAGCCACGCTGCCGCCCACACCAATTCGTCCTGCGAGTAAAAAACAGAGCAAAAAACAGAGGAACCATTAAAAAACAGAGCAAAAAGACATCAAAAGTTCAAATCTTTTTGAATCCCCATTAATGGCGAACCTCATAGCCGCTGAAATCACAGTAGAACGGACAAACCCACTGTCCAATGCTCGCATTATACGATCCCCTGTACGTGTCAGCAAATCTGAAAACCTAACAAACCGCCAAAATCAAATAACCCTTTTGTCAACCATCCTATACATGATGATTGGTTAAGAAATTAAATGGACTTTCATTTGAATTTTTTTTTTTTTTTACCGTGGAAGCTCTGGTGAGAAGCTTGGCAGAGTAGAGCCGATCAACGCTGCGAAACGCCATGGAGGAAGCTGCCAGAGCGGCGGCGATCTCGCCGGAGACTTCTGATCCGGGGAAGTCCTTGCTGACGGCGTAAGGAGTTCTGAGAGTGTCCATATCTTCGGGCCTCTCCCAGCAGTTATGATCGGAGTAAGGGTCGCCGACTTGCGCGAAGACGAAACCAGGGACGCTCGTTGCCTTCATCAGATAATCCGTCCCCCAGCGAAGAGCTTCGAGGGCGTGCTGCTTTTCGGAGCCCATCATCCCGCCAAATTCCACCACGCTCCACGCCAGCATTGTGGTCGTGAACGCCATCGGGAAGTTGAATTTCACGTTGTCCCCTGCATCGTAGTATCCCCCGGTCAGATCAACCTGCGCGAGAATTTTGAATCGAAATCGAATTCGGAGTTAGTGGCGAGTAGCGGTCAACAAATTCGATTCCTTTTTTGGGGTAGTCGACAAAACAGGGGAAAAAACAGAGGAAAAACAGAGGAAGATGATGAGAAGAAGAATTTTGAGAAGAGAGACTGACGCCAATCTCGTAGCCATCTCGGAGACCCGAATCTTTCCTCCATGTCATTCTCTGGTTAGGAGGCAGTTTCCCTGACCTCTGGCCCTCGAAGAACAGTATAGATTTACTCAATGCGTCCCCATAGTTGTGTGACAATGAAGCAACAGTTTGTGCCGCCATAGCTATAGCCATCCCCAATATGAGCATCGTTCTCAACGTTAACGAACCCATTTCTTCTTTGATCGGAACTAACAAAACCCAGATTGTGGATTTCGGTTTCAAACGAGGTTGTGTATATAAAGGGGGTGACTAGAGGTCTAGAAGGGGACCTTTTTGAGTTTGCAAGAAACTTCAAACTCGCATTATGACTTGGGATTTTCGGGGGAGAGAAGAGAAGTAAAGTGGAGAAACAGAGATTATTGCTTGCACACCAAAAAATAGAAACTGGGAGAGAGGTTAACTGTTTGAGCTCCAGAGGCTGCGAGTATGGTGGAAGGGATGGAGGGAGATATGGTACTCTGTTTTGTTGTTAGTTGCAGCGAATTTGGTTTAGATTTTTGCTACGGACTATGTACTCCATCATCCGTTAAGCCTTTTATACTCAAAACAACGTATCGTTAATCATTCTGACCTCCCTTCTTCTTCATATAAAAAGAAAAACAGTTAATTGACTTTTTTTTTGTTTTCCTTTCTTTTCTTTCAAGTTGCTTCCTTTAAGTACTTCAGATTAACAGCAACTTGCTTCCTTCATCCTTCTCATGTTCTCCTTCCCCGTTGTAAACTTTTTGATTGTGCATCTTTAACCGTTCAGTTTAATGATTGGAAAGAAATGTTTCCCAAACATAAAATGTATTCATAAAGTAAGCGGAATTAGACAATAACATAACATGAATTCTACTTTGATATGCGGATTTGTGAATATTTCGTCTTAGTTGGTTAAGGCGATTAGAATGCATGTGTTTGTTCTCATTGAAGATGGTTACACGTATCAACACTAGGATTGTTTGCAATTTCAATTTGTGAGTTAATTAGTATTGATCGGGAATCTCAAGCGGTGGCAACTGGCAAGCCTGGATCGTGTCCACACGTATATATCACAAGGTTTGCTAAGTACATTTGTTATGTAGTTCAAGTCAACCTATTGCGAAGATCGTCAAACTCACTAGTTGAGCTACATGTAATCCAAGGTGGACTGTAGTCTCACTCAAAATTTGATTTTGTGTGACATTAAAAAAAATCGGATGGTAGACAATCAACCCTCTCATATCCATAATTTGAGCTCTCTTACTGTAATTCTGACTCCCTCATTCTAACTTCTGACTTTTGCCACCAAATTTAGACTCATCAAAATCAAGTGAGAAATGTTGGCATGTGTTTCAATCCGACATACTTGTCATTGTGGATAAGTAGCTAGGTTTGAATCCTCATGTCATTGTGGATAAGTAGTGAAAACGAAAGAGTAGAGGATTGAGCCTATCAATACTCAAACAACAGCACGATCGGTTTAAGGTGATGTCGAATCATTGTTGAGTGCCGTATTAGCCAGTTTTTGCCTTCGTAGCTACCCAACTATATCTCCTATTGGTATTTGTTTATTGTGTAACCAAATTAACGTACTTGGCCGGAATCTTATATATGTAAATAGGCCTGTCAATTCGGTTTCGGGTTTTCGGTTTAACCGGAACCCGAACCGATATAAACAGTGCCGTTTCGGTTTTTTCCGGGTTCAACCCGATACACACTGCAGCGGTTTCGGTTTACCAAAACCCGCAAACCCGCAAAACCCGCAAAACCCATAGCATCAGTCACGCACACGCTGTCGTTTTGACTTTTGAAGCAAGAGCAACCCTACCCTAGCCTTCAGCCCTTCCGTCGCCGTCTCTTCGCTTTTGGCAAACGAAACAGAGCGAGACGAAACAGAGGACACAGCCTCCTCGGCGCTTCAGCCCTTCACCTCGTGCCGTCGCCGCCATCATCGTCCTCGCCGCGCCGCCATCATCGTTCCACCATCAACTTCGCTCTTCGCCTCGCTCTTCCCCTGTTACTCTGTTCCTCCTCTGGGTTCGAAGCTTCTGGAGATTGGCGATTTCACGAGCAACTCCTCTGGGTTCGAAGCTTCTGCCTTTGGTCACATCCTAAATCACTGTACAAAACAGAGATGGAATCCCAGTAAGCTCCTTTTTCATTCAACTTGGTATTACTCGGAGATGGTTGGAATTGCAATTTAGTAATTTACCCTTTGATGCTACTACCTTCATTAGAAATCGGACAGGGATGGAGCTAGAGCTAGATGATTCCTTTAATGGCTGTGTTGATTTTCTTTGTCGCGGGATCTGATTGCTTGCTGTTGAGTTGTTTTGGTTGTGGGTTGAAATGAAGCTTTTTCTCTCTTGTAACTGAAACCCATTTTGCTATTTTGCTTGTTTTGCTTAATCCTGCTGAACTGTTCAATTTCTTCTGTTTGTGCGTGCTTCTGCTGTTAATAGGTATTTGATCTCCCCCCATCGACTTTGATCCTGCTTTGGTGAGGAACTAGGTTATGGTGATTTTGGTTTGAGGTGCGCTGAATTTGGCCTGGCTGTGTCTTAGTTGATTTCTGAAGAAGTTTGATTGAGTTTGGGGGATCTGCATTTCGGTTTGAGAGGATGATCGACAAGTTGGTAATGCTTAAGTGTTGGGTTAATGTGGTCTTAATTAATGGGATAGAATGTTGTATACATAGTTACCTGAGTGTGGTGGATGAGGGTAGTGTTAGACGTCTTCTTCAAGGGCTGATCAGGCATCAGACCAAAGTGAATGTGGGGGAAATGAGCCCACTGTCCAAGTACAAAAACAAACCCACCACCACAGTAAATTTTATATATATCTCTAAAGGAAACCCTAGCTAACCACTTGTTGACAATTGGTGAGAAATCATGAACAGTGTTGGATCCATCTTACATTCTTAGCAGCAGCACTAAAAGCTTCTCTGTGGCTTCCATGTGTTTATGCGAAAGGGGCAAGAACAAGTTGCTTTATAAATTGTCATTTCTATTGGATGCTGTGATTGATGGAATTGTGTGTTATTTAGTGCATCAAAAGCATTAGGTACCATAGTTTCAATCAATCAGGAAAGAAATTACTTAGTGTCTAGTTTGCTGTGTTTCCAGTTTGTATACATGCAAAATTTCTCTTTCCAAACTGTGTCCTATTTGTCTGTTCTGCCCATTTTCAAACCTTTGAATTATGGTGAAATCCTAATTTCAAACTAATTATATGCTAATGATGGATGCAAATTATACTTGATTAAATGGTTATGGATATGGCCCCACTGTCACATGGTGGTGATCAGTGGTCTTATACAGTCACCTAACACTGATCACTTACAAGTTACACCGCCCAAACACTTGCTTTGGTTTAGCAACTTTGCCTCTGTGTAACTATAGTGATGAGGGGAGGCCAGGTACACACTCTTGGGACTTGGAAATTCGATCAGATTGATGCTAGGAGAGCTTTAGCGGAGATGATTATCATAGATGAATTACCATTTAGGTATGTTGAACATGAAGGGTTCAAACGGTTTATGGCTCGTGTTTGTCCAATGTTTGTGTTACCTAGCCGTCAGACCGTTAGAGAGGATTGTATCAAGGTGTTCTTTGAAAATAGAGAGTTGGTGAAGTACTATTTCAAGACTAAGTGTTTAGGGATGGTATCGCTCACCACTGATACTTGGACTTCTTTGTCCAATCTCAATTATATGTGCATTACTGCTCATTTCATTGGTAGAGATTGGAAATTGCATAAAAGAATTATTAACTTTGTCCAAGTTACAAAACATTCTGGAAGTGAAATTGGAAAACAGTTGGCTAGTTGTTTGGTGGAGTGGGGCATTAGGAAGGTGTTTTGTATAACAATGGACAATGCTAGTGTCAATGATGTGGTTGCTATCCATATGAAGGAACAGTTGAAAGAGTGGGGATCAGATATTTTGGATGGAAAATATCTGCAGATGAGGTGTGTGGCTCACATTATTAATTTGGCTGTGAAGGATGGGCTTAAAGAAACTGGTAAATCTGTGGAGCGAGTGAGAGAATCTGTGAAGTGGGTTAAATCTACACCAGCTAGGAGCAGAAAATTTAAAGATTGCATTGAGTTTGAAAAGATAGCTTCGAAGAAATTTGTTTCGTTGGATGTAGCTACAAGATGGAACTCAACGTATCTGATGTTGGAATCTGCAAAGCCATTTGAGAAAGCATTTCAGACATTAGCTAGAAATGATAAGAAATTCAAGAAACATCTCAATGAAAAAAGATATGGAAATGAAAGTCTTGGTATCACGACTTCTGATGATTGGTCTAGTGTGGGACGGTTGATTGATTACCTGAAGCTATTCTATGATTTGACTGTTCGAGTTTCTGGGACTTCATATGCGACTTTACACCTCTTGTTTGATGAGGTATGTGAAATGTATACTATGATATCTGAGTGGGCTGATGGTATAGATTTTGAGGTGTCTTGCATGGCTGATAGAATCAAGTCCAAACTTGCCAAGTATTGGTTTGAAGATGAGTTGGAGAATTCAAAGATGAATCGGTTGTGTTATATGGCAGTCATATTAGATCCTAGACGGAAAGTTGAATATCTTGAACAAGCTTTGAAAAAGGTGTATGGTGAGAGCAGGGGTAAAGCTTTGGTCGAAGAGGTGAAGGATGAAATGCGTCTTTTGTTTGACCATTACAAGCATAGGCTCGGACTTCCTGGCAGTTCTCCCATTGTGATTCAGGAAGATGTGCAAGAACCTAGTGGAAGTGGGGATGGGAAGAAGAAAGGGAAGATTTGGGGTGATTTTAGGAAAATGAAAAGAGATGCCATTCTGAAAGGAACTAGAAAAAGTTCCAAATCTGAGTTTGATAGGTACCTTGAGGAGGAGGAGGATGATGAAGTGGTTACACTTACACGAGCATTGATGGGTTCAGAAGAGGATGAATACAAGTTTGACATCTTGGGATGGTGGTCTCGAAGTGGGATGAAATATCCTACTATTTCTGAGATGGCTAGGGATATTCTTGCTGTTCCTATTTCCACTGTTGCTTCTGAGTCGGCATTCAGCACAGGAGGTCGAGTTTTAGATTCGTTTAGGACCTCCTTATCCCCTGAAGTTGTGGAGGCGTTGATTTGTTGTGAAGATTGGATAAGATCTTCAGACTCCGAGTTGGTGGCTGATGGAGAAGATGAGGGTGATGAAGTGGTATTTCAAAATGGTAAGGTTTTAATCTTTCTCTTTATTCTTATATTTGTTATCTTGATCAAGTCATATTCTAACAATTTGTTATTGTTTATGTTATCTAGTATATGTAGCTTTTCAAGCTCGGAGTGCAAGTGCACCTGCAGCTGCAGGACCTAGTGGAAGCTCTCATGCAGGACCCAGTAGAAGCTCTCCTGCTACCCATGTTTTGGTCTCGAGTCCTACTATGTCACAAGTGGAAGAAGACTATGTCGACAACAATTCCGATGAGAATGATGAGACATATGTAGATGTAGAGCCTGATGAGGAGTGATAATGGTAGTAGTATTTATCTTGTATGGTGGATGAATTTTTATTTTACTTGGATGTTATCATTTGAGAATTGTAAAACTAATGTGTTTAATTACGAGTTTAAGATAATCTCATCTATGATTGTCGTATTTTATGTTGAACAAAATTATTTATAATTTTGCGCCAAACACCAAACATTTTTTTGCATATGATAGTTGATATACCTTCAATTTTGGACCTATGGTATTACTAAAACATTTAATTATACGAAAATCCACAATTAAATAAGATATGATTAAGTTACGTATAAAATATGTTTAAGTATTTTACTTTCTCTCTAAAATACTAATACTCTTTAATAGTTAATAGTATGTCTATAGTTATAGAATACATAAAATTAAATATTTCAATAATAAACTAATATTTTAATAATAAACTAATATGTAAATATTAGTTTTATACTGTCCATGTCCCAAAATTAAACATAATGGTAAAATAAGAATGTACAAATAATAAGAATAAAATTGTTTTGTACAAAGTAAAATTCAAATCACAAAACTATAAAAAAAAACCTCAAACCGGTTCGGTTTCGGTTTCACCCGAACCGAACAAAACCCGCCAACATCAATTTCGGGTTCCAGTACCCGAAACCCACAGAAGGGCATTTCGGGTTCGGTTTCGGTTTGTGAGGGGGCGGTTTCGGTTTTTCGGTTTTCACGGGTTTCGGGTTCGGTTACCCGACCCGAACCGAACCGACAGCCCTATATGTAAATCGACGTCCAAGTAATTGACCGGAATTCCCTTTGTCGTCACTCATCGGCACGATAAGCATAAGCCACATGTGAGAATGAGATGTCCTAATATTGACTCTCCCCCATTATCACAACACCACCCGCCGCCTACCTTTTTTCTTCCTCCTTTTACGCTATGGAACTAGCGAGCTAGCTATTAGCATCTTTCTTATACACAACTTTTTCTGTTCTAACATTTTCTTATACACAATTGGTGTGTCTTATGATTTGTGATAGAATACTTGTAAGAAACTTGACGTAAAAAGATTTTTTTATTTCAACTATGGCGGCAATGAATTGGCGCGGCTTAACTAGTATAAATTTTTGAAACTTAAAAGAAATTACGATCAAACGTAACGTTGGCACGATAAAATTTTGATATTCTTAATACTAAACTCGAATCCAATCTAATTAGCTCTGTTAAAAAGGGTCTAGCATTCATTCATATCACACTTTTGGAGGATTTGGTTTAGCGCAATTTCTTGAAACATTTGGTTTTACTATATACACATTTTTAGGGTAATGTCTATTTACTAACTAAAATTTTTCCGAATTTTTTTATTTTATCCAAACCTATTGGAATACTATTTATTAACCAAACGTTAAATCTCCGTTAACTTTTTCGTTTGATGATGGTGAGCTGTCAGATGTGGCGCTGAGTCGGAATGAATATTCTGACGTGGCAGTAAAAAAATGTCACATCTGCTAGTCAACCATTGATCATCTATTCTACTTTCTTTTTTACTAGCCGAACCTATTAAATTATTAATAATTAGTCAAATATTAATTTCCAGTTAATAATTTTGTTAGTATTATTGACTTGACAACATGATACTGACATGGAAGAGAAACATGGAGGTCAGCATTCCAAAATTTTAGTATTTTAACTAAGAAAAGAGTTATAAAATTATTAACGATAATGTTGAAATGGCTAATATTTGATGTATTACAAAATATTTGGCCAATTATTAGTAATTCAATAGATTTGACTGATAAAAAACCATTTGAGAAAGGTTTGTATAATTAAGTTTCACCAATTTTATTTTATTCATTGATGAGGTGGCAGCTGAGTTTGACGCTGAGGTGGGTCGCCGTTAAAAAATAGTTAACGGTAACGAATTAATGACTATTACTTGGACGTGTTACAAAATATTTAACTAATTCTTAATATTTTGATAGGTTTTAATAATAAAAAAAATCCAAAAAAGGTTTTGCTAATAAATAATCATTACCCATTTTTTTACATATGTTTTCCCCTTTTCTATTCATCTTTTCTTCCCCTATATATGTTTTCATTCTTCCGATTGAAATGTGCATTTTTTTTCTCTTGTCGATTGTGTAAGGAACAGTAAGATACGATTATGTTTACAATCATCGTTGCAGGTCATTCACAAAACATAAAAAGATAGGGACGTGGATTAACAAGTTGTTGAACCAACGATAAAAAGGCTTGTTTTGCAACAAACGGGCGCTAACATGTTATACCTTAACTTCTTTTTCTTTCAAAATAGCACCACCCACAGCGTGAGACAAAATGAATTCATTTGTTAATATACTCTATCAATTCATGAAGTAAAAACTAGGTCAAAACGTATGAAACTTCAAGAGCCGACTGCCAAAAGAACACAAGGTTGGCGCGCGGGAATGTTGGGCTATCCAAATCAAAGTCGATCGACGAGCCCTCAAATCGGTCAACGAAATCACAAGTTTCAGGGCGAGATGAATTGAATTCTAGTACCTTTTGTTCTTCTTCGTGCTTTGAGTGAGCCACAAGTCACAAATCTTCTTCTACTGCACCTCATCATAAGGGACCAAATACATCCTTCCATCCGTACGGCTCGATGGTCACGTAAGAAAGAAAGTGCCGTTGTTTGCTGCGCCAAACTATTTTTTGCAGCATTAGTTCCCACGCCTTCTTAAATTAATACAAGGACCAGAGAGACAGGTAGATTTTGCTGGTCGACGACCACCCAAATTCTCGTCGGAACCCTAAAACCCTACTAAATTAATAATCATTTGTTTTCTCCCCCTCCACAGTGTGCGGCAGCCAGCGAATGCCACGGAGGAAAGCAACGTGTGCCCGGAGGGTCTCTTTGGCTGAGAGCTAGCTAAGCAAGTCTTCCTTCCATGTTCCGAAAGAGATCGATGCTGTCGTAGCCGCCTACGTGGCGCATGCAGTACGTAGTTAGGGTTGTCAATTTGGTTTGGCTTGGTTAGCCAAACTATTAAGTATGAAAAACCAAAAATCAAAAATCAAAATCCAAAAACCAAAATCATTAAGGCTCTTATTGGTTTTACGTGTTGCCAAAAACCAATAAGGGCTTTAATAGTTTTGGTTTGGATAACCAAAAAATCAACATGTACTCATACACTCATATTTATTCCCATTTCCCTCCTTTTTATTGAATAAACGTCATAATAATGGTAAATGGCCATCACAAATTATTGGTTGGCATGCGTGTCAAAAGAAACAAAACAAAAAAAATATTTGTTGATAAATAATTTTATTCTTATTGGTTTCTTAATGGTTTCTATTGGTTTTTCGGTTTTAACCAAACCAAAACCATTAAGTTGCTTATTGGTTTAAAACCGAAAAACTGAAACCGTTAGCTTTCCAATTGGTTTGGTGTTGGTTAAAACCAAAACCAAATGGACAGCCCTATACGTAGTACTTCTTATAGTAAACTCCGCCAGATCAGCAGCTTGCCCCCTCGGCCTTCGCCGCAATCAATCTGAAATGTCGTTTGGTTTTCGTGATAGTTTGATTGAAATTGTTAAAATATTTGTGTTGTTCAATGTTCATAATACAAGCATATAGCATTGTTTGCTTGATGTAATACAAATCATATCACTCAAAATGTGAGAAAGTTAAATATCACCTTTCAGAGTTGACATAGTCCGAGTGAGATTGTTGTGTTTATTTTTGTTACAACTATATTCCTAACGATTTTGTGTTTGTTGCTTTTTTATATTAAAAATAATCTATATATGTGATACTTTACCCAAAAAATCAATATATTTTTTATGAAAAAATTAATATAATTTATTTCAATGTTACAATAACAATGACAAAAAAAAAAACATTATGCATCACAAACAATACACCAATTTTTTTAATTATAATATTTCGCGGAATGATGGAAGCTAAGATTGGGCCAATTACCTAAACTGGACCGCGGTTTCAATTGGTTTAGGGTTGGCAAAGGTGGGCCCACCCCCTCCCCCGGCATAACTGCGTAAGTAGCAGGTTATAAGTATCTACTGAAGCCCGCCAATCCCTACTAGGCCGCGAATAAATAGTTTGCTGGGCCACTCACTTATTTTGTTCACCTTCTAGGTCCATAACAAACCACGCTCCAGTCTCCACGGGAATATGGCTGGGATTAGTGATGGCAACAAAACCCAAACTCACGGGTACCCATTCGATCCAATCCGGTCAACGCGGGTAAAATCCGTGTTGACGGGTTTTGGGTCGGATTTGGGTTTAAATCCGTTCACTATTCACCGGGTTGGGTTGGGTTTGAGTTTAGGTAAACCCGACCTATGGGTACACGCCCACACCCATATAATTAATTTTCTCGGTATATTTTATATTCTAAACAACTAATCTTATTTATGTTTATGGAGACATGTGTAATTTTTTCTTTCTAATTGTATAGAATGAAGTAGATGTTATCGAGTGGAGAGTGAAGAAACTTAATTGAAAGGAAGAAGCTTTCAATTAATCATGTTATTTATAGATAATTTGTGATTTGCTTCAATTTTCTTGAGTTTTTTAGATTGGTGTTGAACAATTTGTATAGTTAATTTGTGATTTGCTTGAATTTTCTAGAATGGTGTTTTAAATATGGATAATTTGTATTGAGATATTGATATTTGATTTTAATTTTGATAGGAACTTGTTATTGTAAATTTTTGGGTAAATACAATATATTAGCCATAACTATTAAGCAACGGGAAATTATAGCCATAACTATCGAAATACAAATTATTAGCCATAACTATTGTTGCGGGTCAAGATTTGGCTAACAACCCGTTAGTGTTTTCAAATTTTTAACGGAGAAGGCCATGTCATCATCGTAAAAAATATGATATGATGACTGCCACGGGGGAGGCAGCTCAGCATCGTAAAAGTTTAGTCATCATTACTAATAGAAGTGTACGAAAACTTAACGGTTGGCTAATAATTTGTATTTCGATAGTTGTGGCTATAATTCCCCGCTGCTTAATAGTTATGGCTAATATATTGTATTAGCCCTAAATATTTTATGACAAAACCCCATGGGTACCCATGAACCCGCGGATACCCAGCGGGTTGGGTTTGAGTTTTTCAAACCCAGTGGGTTTTACCCCGGGTTTTTTTCAAGGATAAACCCATGGGTTTGGGTTTGACAAAACCCGACCCATTGTCATCCCTAGCTGGGA